GTTTTGACATGAATGAATGGGCCAGAGGCCGTACGACATGAATGAGTGGGCCAGAGGCCGTATGACGTGAAGGAATGGGCCAAAAGGTGTTTGACACGAATGATTGGGCCAAAAGTCGTCGAACAGGAACGATTGGCCCAAAGGCCGTCGGGTACGAGTTAATTGGGCCCGAGGCCATTTGACACGTCCGGAACTTTAGTCGAGTAATACATTAAATAGAAACATGAATTAGGCCTAAGGCCGTCTGAAGTAACTGTTTCAAAGATTGTTCATGTATCTTCCTTATTTGATATTGTTCACTGGGCTTTCGCTCACGCTCATTCATGTTTATGTAGGTGAGCCAAGGAACGCCCAAACCCAGCCTCAGTGAAATATGTGAGAAACAGTCAAGGTTTTAGAGAGTCAGCCCAAACGTCTCACGCACGAGACTTGTCTTCGCCTCTTTTGTTCTTTTGATATGGTTTTGTTATATTGGCGAAAACATCGGATTACTTTTGTATATAAACTTTGGGTTTGACCGACTTAGACTTAATGATCCTGTATGTACAGAACTTTATGTTGTTACTTATTTTGATGTGAGTTAATATGGACTGTTATGATGTGCCATGTAAACACAACTCTATGGACAATTTGTAAGTTTGCTTCCGTCTGGCCCCTTTACTCTGATGAGTTATGTCTGGTTTGGTTTGAGGCCGTAGGTAATCCCTTGATTACTGGCCGGTTATGTCCTTAACCCATAGGGGCGGGTTCGGGTCATGATAGAGTGGTATCAGAGCACGAGTTAATAACTCACACACTTGCTTCCGTTTGGACCCTTTCTGTTCTCTTTCACTTCTAAGCACTCTTAAGCATGCATCGAGCATCATAAATGAATTAAAAGGATAAGAAAGAAGCCTAAGAGGAATGTATGAGTTAAGAATGGACTGAATTGATTGTGACCCATATGTGTTATGTAATGTGTAGGGTCGAGCTCTAGGGTGAATCCACCGGCAGATCACTGTGAGTAATATCTTAACAAAGATATCTTAAGTATGTTATTTGTCCAACTGCTCATTTTCATATAAGTCTTGTAAGTTTGTTACATTGAATTGGGGACAAATATTTGTTATGCCCGTGTGAATGGGCCAGAGGCCATATGACATATGAATGAATGGGCCAGAGGCCGTGTGACATGAATGAATGGGCCAGAGGCCGTACGACATGAATAAATGGGCCAGAGGCCGTACGACATGAATGAGTGGGCCAGAGGCCGTATGACGTGAAGGAATGGGCCAAAAGGTGTTTGACACGAATGATTGGGCCAAAAGTCGTCGAACAGGAACGATTGGCCCAAAGGCCGTCGGGTACGAGTTAATTGGGCCCGAGGCCATTTGACACGTCCGGAACTTTAGTCGAGTAATACATTAAATAGAAACATGAATTAGGCCTAAGGCCGTCTGAAGTAACTGTTTCAAAGATTGTTCATGTATCTTCCTTATTTGATATTGTTCACTGGGCTTTCGCTCACGCTCATTCATGTTTATGTAGGTGAGCCAAGGAACGCCCAAACCCAGCCTCAGTGAAATATGTGAGAAACAGTCAAGGTTTTAGAGAGTCAGCCCAAACGTCTCACGCACGAGACTTGTCTTCGCCTCTTTTGTTCTTTTGATATGGTTTTGTTATATTGGCGAAAACATCGGATTACTTTTGTATATAAACTTTGGGTTTGACCGACTTAGACTTAATGATCCTGTATGTACAGAACTTTATGTTGTTACTTATTTTGATGTGAGTTAATATGGACTGTTATGATGTGCCATGTAAACACAACTCTATGGACAATTTGTAAGTTTGCTTCCGTCTGGCCCCTTTACTCTGATGAGTTATGTTTGGTTTGGTCTGAGGTCGTAGGTAATCCCTTGATTACTGGCCGGTTATGTCCTTAACCCATAGGGGCGGGTTCGGGTCATGACAATATGTCATCGTTCATGCATTATAAGGTTCTTTAATTTGGGGCACAATGATCGTGATTATAAGTTTGTTAACTTTTCTTTCACAGACTGTGTGCTTGATGGGAGTTATTGAGAAATACAAGGAACTGGCCAAGTACAATCTGAGGCAATTATCATCCAAACCATAGTTCCTTCCACACTTTTTTGGGTATTATTATAATTGGGAGTTGTTTTGTAGTTTTTGTCAGATGTTATCATATCGTTGTTAGGTTCACTACAACAAAATACACCTTCGGCGACCAAAATTGGAGACTAAACAAAATTTAGTCGCCAAAAGTTGTAGAATTAGCGACCAAAAAATTTTTTTGTTGGCAAAAGTAAAATATTTAGCTACTAAATTTTTTTAGAAGGAGTATATTGGTTATTGGCGACGAAAAAAAAATTAGTAACTAAAAATGCTAGAATTGGCGACAAAAAAGGAATTTAGTCACCGTATATTAAGTTTTGGCTACTAAAACCGTTTAGTCGCCGAATGAAAAATAAATAATTATTTTTTACCTTTGGCGACCAAAATTTTGGTAGCCAAAAGTTTATTTTTAGCGACAAAAAAGAAATTTTGTCGTCGTATATTGAGTTTTGGCTACTAAAACCATTTAGTCGCCGAATGAAAAATAAAAAATTGTTTTTTACCTTTGGCGACCAAAATTTTGGTAGCCAAAAGTTCAATTTCGGCAACACAAAAGAAATTTAGTCGCCACATATTGAGTTTTGACTACTAAGACCGTTTAGCCGCCGAATGGAAAATAAAAAATTATTTTTTACCTTTAGCAACTAAACTTTTGGTCGCCAAAAGTTTATTTTCAGCGACAAAAAAGAATTTTAGTTGCCAAAGAAATAAAATATTTGAAGGGAGACATTTCAAATATTTTGGAGGGATTTATAAAATACTTTTAGCGACTAAACAATTTTAGTCGCCAATAACCATCTATGTATAATATCTCACTCTTCTCTCTCATCCTCTCTTTGTCTACCCAATCCAAACCAAATCCACCTTTTCTCTCCCAAATTTTCTTTGCTAAACACCTCATTTCAAATCACATCTTTGAATCTATCTGCTTCTACGATCTTCTGTGTTCACATCCACACATACATACATCCACATTGAGAAGCTAATTTCCCGTCAAAAATCTCAAGTATGAGAACCAAAGCCAGCAACCAAAACAGGTTCATGCGATTCATTATGATACCAATTAGGGTTTTAGGCAAAGCCAGAGACTTCTACGTTTGAATCATTACGGAGTGTGACCAAAGGGTTAGCTATGGCGGCGCGATGGGCATTCAATCGGGACCGATTCACAACTTGCCGAAAAGATTCAGCGTGAGCTCTTCGTCGAGATCATCATCTGCGGACAATGATGATCTGAGAGAGCTGATTGGGGTTGCATTGACGGGGAGATTGAGAGTTGATATGGATATGGATATGCAGAGGCGGTAGATGAAGCGGTCCATGGCGGCGGCGGGGGTGCCAAGGAGCTGTAGTGTTGGGATGGGGAAGATTGATGAAGAGAGGCCTTGTGAGTTGTTATGGCTTTTCCATTTGGAGGTCTTTGGAATGACTTATTTGATGTGTAGAATATGTGTAAAAACTCAGAATTAGGGATAATTGTGTTAGTTTGAATCCTCTCCTAATTCCAACTCCTCATTCAGGTGAGACACACTTAATCCACCTTCTCTATGCGTGAACCTTTCGATTGATTACGATGATTTTGTTCTGTGTTCTGAACTCTAGGTTAAGTAAAACTTTGTAATCTATGAATTCTCTGAATGCTTTGTATAGTTTGGTAACAGGTCTCAATCTAAACCCCCCTCATCTTGTTCTACCTGATGAATTATTTGTCAACATTGCCAAGTCAATTGTTGCTGAGGTTAACCAAGCTTTGGGGTTTCTTCAAGATTTGGCATGTGGAGGAAATATTAAGCAGTTTCTAGCTATATGTCTGAATAGATCAATTTTCTTTATTTTCTTCGCTTTTCCCTGTCATGCATATGCTTGCAAACCATTTGATTTGACCTCTAACCTATTTGGATATTGTTGAAATTTGCTACTCCAAGTTCTGGAACACTACACATGAGGATGCTTGGTTAAAACATGGAATTATTTACCATCTATTTTTCCCTTTACTATCATAGTTTATTCTTCAAATATGGTCTCTTCTCAACTTCTTACAACTGTATATGTAGTCTGGAAAGCCCTGTTTATGTCGTTTGGTAGATTTTTCTTCTCTTTCATTTCCAAAATTTAATACTAATCATGCAAATTAATTTGCTTTAAACTATTTATCTCACCTTAAAATTTATTTACCAAACTTGTAGTGTTTTCATGATGTTAAGATATCAATGTTATGTTTATAATTACAAGACTGTCATCTTTAAATAACTGAATTGACCTTGGGAAATTCCTCCAGGTTTTACTAAGCTTGTGGGCTGCTGCTGTGATTGGAAATTGGTGCAACTTTTTGACTGTCCTGTATATTGGTGAGACATCGTGTTATTTTCTGTGAAATTAGTTTGCTATGAAATAAGCTCTAGACTGGTTACTAGATGTGCACTCGATAGCATGCTTAAGCATTGCAACTAGTTGGTGAAACCCTTAGAATATTTTGTTTATGTTATGGGGGATGGGATCAATTTGGGGGAAAAAAAATTGTGTTTAAATAATTCAGCAGGCTTCATCAAGATGGTTTGAACCTTGTTCAAGTTTACGCATAAACTTTCATGTGTTAAGTTGTGATTCATTGTTATAGAAGCTTAGATGAACAATAGGTCAAATCTGGTGACGGTCCTTTAAGTTGTTTTGTTTTCATGATAAAAATAGGAGATTATAGTCTAAAACCTTGCTTGTTTTTCTGCATTTTTCTTTTGTTGTCTTGGGTATGACATTTCTTAGATGCTGTTATTATTTAACTACCATTGAGCTATTATGTAGTACCAAACATGGCATTAACTATTATGGTTTATTTATTTATTAATTTATTTTGTTTTTGGCTTGTTAGGTTTTGTTGCATTTCACACACTACCAGTTCTATATGAGAGGTATGAAGACCAAGTCGGCGGCTTTGTATAAAGTGTACTCGGCCAGCTTTAGCACCAATATCGAAAGCTGGATGCCGGTGTCCTCAGCAAAATTCCCAAAGGAAAGCTTGATAGAGTAGATAATTGTTATCTTTTTATGCAGATACATACCCTATACAACCTGGATAAACCTCCAACAAATTCAGTTTGTGGGTTTGAGCTACAAATAGTTATTTT